TAACTACCTATTTTTAAGCTGCATTGAATTGAAATGTTTCCAAACTTCACTAACAAATTATTAAGGTAGTGTAGTACTGCTACTCCATATCCTTTCAGATTATGTAAATTAACAGATCTTAGACCTGAGAACACAATGAAATACAAAAGTCAGGCACATCAACATGGCCGCACATCTGCATCTCTGTCCTGCAGCCAAACAAACAGTTGTTGCAAAATACCACAAGTCATCAATGAAGAAAGGAACAGATAAATTTTTGAGCTAAGTCTTTAGCTCAAAACTGGCTATCACCTGGATAACATTTTAATCCTGAGGTCTTCAATCACAGAAGATGGTCAAGCCATACAGATTATTCCTGTGGCAAAGAACATGGTAGCTAGCAACACTTCCACATGTGCACAGGGCTGTTAGCTTCCCTAAAGCACCAGAACCACCACAGGTACAAAAGTCAGCTACAGGCAGCACCTATTGCCTCTGGCACAGAGGCAATCCCTTGACAGATGAGGAAGATGTGAGCCAGTCTTCATCTAGGCATTTGAATACAATTTCTAAAGAGCTGTTCAGACATATGGGAAGCAGGGCACAGGCCCCATCACTTATTCCAGCTGCAAACTTGTATTCTTGTTCACCAAGTACCAGATGACAGGGGCAAAACAAATTACTCCCCTTACAAATTGTATCAAGTACAGGCGGTCACCACTAAAATAATCCTGCTCACTACCAGGAAACCTTCAAGAAGGGACTACAAAAAGCAAACAACTGGCAAAAGAGTTAACCTGATGAACTGCCAGAAAATGTCTTCTCCACAAAGATGTTGATATTAAAATTAAGTAGGCAAGATGAAGAGCTTGAAGCAGAAACTGTGCAGGAGAAAAACTCAGAAAAGTGATTTCTATGTCCCAAGGGAAATCATTACAGTGAGCAGAGACATGAGATTCTAAGAAAAAAGTCCTCCTCATTCCCCACAGCAGAGTTTCAACTGAACTTCTCTTCACACACCCTCCCTCTCTTGTCCCAACCTTCTTGTGCTTCCACTCAAACACTTTCCAACTAGAAGGAAAACAGCAGAGAGCAGCAGTGTGAACCTTGAGCCCCTTCACACTAGTAGACACTTCCTTTCCACTTCCACAATGGAAGGCCGGACATGATATTGTTTCCACTAATCATGATGGTCCATCTTGTGTATTGCACAAGACCAAACCAGATAAGCAATAAAAGGATAGGAATTATTTGTCAGAAAGGCAAGAAATACAGGGAAAAAGGCTACTCAGTTTTCCTTCTCCATAAATGAGTGGGCTAAAATGCTTCTACAACTCTTCCTGCATCCCCTTACAATTCATTTCTATGGACACGTCTAAAAAATCTGCTTTTAAACAAGTTCAGTGTTCTATAACTTATTCATCAAACTGAGTCTCAAAAACAAAGTCTAAATTACACTTTGTCCAAGAGACAATTTCGTCTGGGTCAGCAATTTTCAAATTTTGTATCAGTGTTCACATCACCAGGATAATTTCTACATGCCTTCTGCACCTGTAATTTGAGAGCCACCACATTGGTGGAAACAACACACAGGCACTGCAGGACATATCCTGCAAAGAAGGTGAAGGGTGGCTTAGAGAACAAGCCAAAGTGAAGAGATATTAAAGGTATGAGAAAGTTCTTCAATTAAGAGTGACAGAATAAAATGTCAGCAGATCCGTGGAGCCTACAAGAGATAAGTCCATGGCTGGAAGCACTTGCTCAGACTATTCTCAACAAAATACCACTGGAGAGATTGTGTCTTCCAGCAATCGTCTTTTAACTCCATGAGTCACCACCCTCTCCAGCCCAACACCTCCCTAGCAATACCTTCGACACCCTATTCTCTGGGGTTTAGGAATTTCAGAGATAGGAAAATGCCAACTATTTCATCCATGTACAGGCTGCCCAAGAGTTCAAAACGTGCACCTTTTCAAAATAAGCTTTTTGACTCATTCCTACTGCCTTGAATTTGCTGCCCTGACACTGTCCTCATCTTGGAATCAGAAAGTCAGAAAAATCCAGAGGTGTCAAAAGCAGGTTCTGTTCTAAAGACATGTCAGAACCCCTTGTCCAAGTGATTCAGCCACCTGCTTTTCTTTGATCATAACCAGTTTCATTGTTCAAAGACCTGCAATGAATATGAGTCATGTTTGTGTGAGGATACCTGATCACAGATCTTTCATCCTCCCTGTAATTAACATAACTTTAAAAAATAATTCTATACTTTACATACAAACCCTTATTTTAGGATACTTCTCTTAGACCAGGTATTTCAGTCTATGGACAAAACCTCCAAATGAATTCGAGGCAGAAAGCTGAAATACACATTCACTGAAAAACACCACTTCTCATTCAGTTTTTTTTTGCTGTACAGGATGAAGCCCAGCTTCAAAGTCAACATCTTATCTTTGTGAGTTACCCAGTTGTCGGTAAGACTGCCTGCAAATATTGTGAATGCCAGAAATCATGCTACCTCTGAACATTTAAAAGGAGCAATTTGTTCCCTGACCTAAAATTTTACGTGTAATACTGAGCAACTTTTTCGAAGTTGCATCCCCAACTGCACAAACATAATCAGCTCACAAGGCTGCTGAAAGCAGCAGTTCTGCCATCTGTCTGCTTATTCCTACCTCACACTTGTGCAGGCACAAATGTTTGTGAAGCCATGCAATGATCCAGAGAGAACCAAACTCTGTAATCCATCAGTGAAAAATAGAAAGTTATTGTTAGATCATTTCCTAATCTATACAACCATGCACGCTGGCACAAGCATGGGAATAAACAGAATTTACATAATTTTAATAACAGTGCCACGTTCTGAAGTCTAGAAGTTCAGAACTTTTCACCAGGTCTATCAACTAAATCCGAAGAACACATATGAATTTCAGAAAAATTCAAGTAATTTCACTTCGTTTGTAATTGTGTTGTTGTTAAAGTAAGAAGCGGGAGGAAAAAAGTGATCTACCACTTACTAAGAGGAATCAAAACATATCAGTGCCTAGATCTTCACCCCTGCACCAGTTTCTTCCACTAATAAAACGGATAGTAGAACTAATCTGTTCAACAAAACATTCTGCAATACAGATAAAAAGCCGTAACACCAAGGTAATATTGTTACAGAGACACAGATAGAATTCAACTCTCTTACAGCAATGAAAGAATGAAACAGCACAAAGCTGATGTTGCAACCTATAGTGGTCTGGCATGGAGAACAGACACAGGACAATGTACAGCAAAATGGCTACTCAGAGCAGCAGCTGGTATCTACAAAAGGACAGACATGGATTTGCAAAAGACCTGGGTAAAGAAACTCACAGTGGAGTCTCCCTGCCCTCCTTTCATTATTGGTACTCTGATGAAATCACATAGGAGTTATGAAGAGCATATAGAGAAGACTTGCTGGGGTGGCAGGTTAAGTAGGAATCCACAGAACTGGGTTGTCATGACAGCAGCTGAAAGTATGCAAGAGATGTATAGATCCTGGGTGTTAGAACAGCAAGGACTACAAACAAGATTATCAATACATTGCATTTTCACACACCAAGAAGCATACATTACATCTCATCAATGAAACACAGACTGCACGGTAACTGCTTGCATTGGTGAAGGTGCACGAGGGTCCAGGACATACACGAAAAATTTGTATTCATTAAGTACTGAGAAAGCACAGGCTCTCACAAACTTGACAGTCATGCTATACACAAGAGGAAAAAAGTGACATGCACTCTTGGTGGACCAACACGGTCGAGTCTCAGCTGGAGCTTGGAAACTCACCACATGAGCTCCATTCCATTTAAAAGCAAAGTAAACGAGTGAAAACTCAATTTCAACAACCCCTTACGTTAACTCTGCAATCAAATGGACTTTGATCATGCAGCAACTCGGTAACTCATCTCAGCTGAGAGGAAGTAACTGCCTGTCAGAGACAAGCTACTCCCTGAAGTGTCTGAGCTCTATCTGCAGCAGCATGCCCGGCTCCCTGGCACAGGCAGGCTGCAGGTCCTCACATGATGGACAACATCATCCTGGCGGGTCACTTCCGAAGGTGGTGGGGCACAGGGTTCAAGATAAACACTGAACAAGAGTGGCCAGAGATGGGAATAAAACAGGGCCTTGTTGGACACTCTTTCAAGGAAGTTTGAGGAGGCAGAGAGAAGATGGGAGTAGCAGGTATTTATGTAATCTGTTCAAAACTCTGAGAATTTGATGTGGTGGATTACTCAGGGACTCAGGAGGTCTAACACTGGGTGATTCAGGAGTCATTACAAAGCAAGGACTCTGCACGATACGAGACCAAAGCAGCGTTACAAGCGCCTGGCACAAGGAATGTACAGGTACACCAGTGTTCACAAATCTGGTACTCGCACGACAGGGCTCTTACACTGGGTACTCACCATCCAACACTGGAGAAGGAGAGGCCTGCAATCATGCGGAACACAAGGACAGCAAGAGGCTGCCTAGTGAAGGGTCCCAGTAAGGACTACTAGTGAAACGAGCGGGGGGGCGGGGAGTGGGCTACTCGGGCGCTGCTGAACACAGCCCACAAGCGGGGACAGGGCACTGCGGCCGGAGGTAGCCGCGGAACCCGGGGCGCGGAGACCGCCACAAAGGCGGCCACTCGGAGCAGGGCGCTGCCAGGGGTGTGAGGGATAGAGGATAGATGCCACCAGCGAGCCCCTGGCGCGACGGGCCAAGTAGGGACAGGGAGGGGTCACCGGGTTGGCGGGCAGCGCGGCGCTTCCCGGTGCGAGCCCGGCGCGGGAGGGCAGCGCGGCTCCCAGGGAGCGGGGGCGCCCGCGGGCCGGGCCCGGGGACAGGCGTAGGGCCAGGCGAGGACAGCGGCCGGGCGGCGGCAGCGGGAAAGGTGCCGGGCGGGAGGCGGGAGCCGGCGGAGAGGGAGGGACGGCGCCCGACCGGGGGGAGCCGGGCGGGACGGGCGCGCACGAGGCGCCCACGCGGGCGGTCGCGGCGATACTCACTATGGGTCGTTGGTGAAGCGGGGGCTCCGAGGGGGCTGGTATCCATACAGGTGGCAGTAAAGCACATCGAAGCAGAAGCAGCACATCTCGGCCGACACCACCATCTTCCTGCAGCCGGGCCCGCCGGAGCCGGGGGAGGCGAGCAGCGAGGATGTCGGCGGGGAGAGGCCGGCGGGGCCCCCGCCACAGCTGGGCGGCAGCGGCGAGGACAGGGCGCAGCCGGCGGCGCCCCCCGCCAGCCCCCCGAGGCCGTTCAGGCGGGGGCCCCCCGGCGGGGGCAGCGCCCCTGGCTCGCCCCCCGCCGCCGCCGCCCCGCCGCAGTGGGAGCCGCCGCCGCCACCTGGGCCGGCCGAGCCCGAGGGAGGGGAGCTGGAGAGTTTCTGCTTCTTCACCCCGCAGCAACCCGCCGCCATCTTGGAGCCGTCTCCCCCCACGCAGCGCTTCCGACCCATGGCGGGGGGGCCGGCCGGCCGGCCGGGGGACGTGCGGCGGCCTGCTCCGCCTCCTGCCGCGCCCGCTTCGCCTGCACGGGGAGGGGGCAGGAGAGGGAAAGATGAATGAGGAGCGGGCGGGAGAGGAGGATCGGCAGGGAGGGGGGAGTAAGAAGAGACAGAGAAAGCTGCGTTAGAGAGACCTAGTGAGTGGCCCTGGCGGCCGGGGCAGCGCGGCCCGCAGGTGTGGCGGCCTTTCCCCTCCCCTACAGACGCCGGGCCGTTCCTCTCGCTTTCCCTCCGCGCTTTATCTCCTCCTTCTGCCAAGGAAGTGGAGCAACTCCACCTCGCGTGCTAAAAAAAAAGAAATAAAAAAATAACCCACAAACCCGAGCTCTGCAGGCGCCGCACGGCAGGAGCAAAGCCCTTGAGATGGTTAAAAACACCCCGCTAAATAATTCAAGTGACCTGAAATGCCTTCTTCTGTGTTGGAGCCGACAGGCTGGGAGCCTGGAGAGAGTGCTTGGATGCAGCTATTTAGCATGTAATCGTGATGGCTAGAAGCCACGGACTTTAGATGTATATGTATATATATATTTCTTTTTTTAAATTACAGTTTTAGCAATTACTTCACAACCAGTGAATAGCAGCTCGGAGCGTAGATCCACAGCTGCAGGCAGAGCCAGCAGCCATGACCCGGTGAGACCACGGCCCTGGGTGCTGGCAGCCCGAGAAGGACCTCTAGGGAAGGGAAGTCCGGAGGAAAAAGGTTATGGGTTCCTACTGTTCTCCGGAAATAAAAAATGAAGCTTATTAAGGAGGAGAAATGTGTTTTATATTATTGTTTTGTGTTAGCCTCATATATAGATATATCTGAATGGATGGAGAGACTTGCAAACAGCCATAAAGTACTTCAAAATCTGTATGTATATTTAGAAAATGACACCTCACTCCTCAGTGTTGTGCAGCCATCTCTGGCATGGGAGGTTACAGCTGTTTAACATAGAATAGCAACACTACAGTATCAAGGAAGACATGAGGGTGAGGACTGCCACGCAGAGTTAAAATAATACCAAAATTTTAGAGAGACAGCCATTACACAAGCTGAAATGCAGTAAACAGAAAGATTTCAGTATCAAACTACTTAGAGACTCAGTTTTACATTTCTTGGTGGAAGTAGTTTCTCCAACATCCTCGTTATATTAATTTTGGCTGCACCTTAAATGATGGACTTGAAGAGAAAATCCCTAATTACTAGATCTCTAATACTAATGGGTTAAAAGGCCCTTTGGCGGTTTCTACCCAAATACTGGCCTAAACTCCTCTTGCTTTGACTGTGAATCATAGGCTGAAGGAAAACTGCTGCAGAGAATAATAGCAAACAGAAAGGAGAATTAGATGGTGTGAAGCAGTCTTTTCCATTTTTAAATTAATATTTGTGTTTGAAGCTGGTGAATACTTAAAAAGGGAACTCAATTATGGTCTCTAACAACTTTGAAGTTTTAAAACAGTGTTTTCCACTTAGGAATTCATTTGTTTAAAATCAGTTAGCAGTGACACCTTCTGTTGCTTTGGGGAAAATAGTTTCTTCAGGTATTGAATTCTGTCTTTTTCTCATTTTTTTTTAACATCCTATATTATTTAACACCAATATTTATGAAAATATTCAGTAAGTGCAAAAGCTTACGATACAGACAGAAATAATCGCTTACTCCACTGGAACAGGTATTTGGAAGGTTTATTGTAAGACTCAGAGCTAGGATTGATATCCTTATGCAATATCAAGACTATGAACAGTGAATTATCAAGATAACGAATAGTGATAACTTCTTGATTAAATATTGTATTGCAATGGTCCCTGAATCAAAGGGTAAACTAAGTATATTACTTAATCATTAGAAACACCTTACTTTTTCCACTTCTGCTGATGTTCTTTGCTGTATTTGCCTATAGTTGTGCTCCTATTTTACCTCAGTGCATGTAATGCATACCAAATCTCTAAAGACAACAACAAATATACGAACAAAACTGTGGAAACTAGTGGAATCAGGAAGACATAACTGTATTACTAAATATCTTGAAGTGGAGGGAACTGCAGACTCACAAAATGTTCTTCATAGCTCAGTGGAAATTTTCCATTTCTATTTGAATGGGCATTTATTCTTTGGATCATATGGTTTTGCTTAACTGCAACGTGTTTTTGATTGGTCCTTTGCTTCAGTTAAGTATTAAGGACTTTTACATTTCTTACTACAAGGAACTCGGAATGTGTTCAGTACCTTAAAGTACTTCTATACTCTGCCAACTTTAGCAGATTCTTTCCTGTTGGTTGATGATGGTGCTGTGCCTCATATGCAGTCCCAAGTGAACTCCAGATGAAAAACAAGCTCTTTAGCAGTATCAACAGAATCAGAATGGTTGTGCAATTAGGTCAATACGATTTAGGATGGAGCTCTTAACCATGACTTCAACTGTTTAGCGCTATTGCTCACCTCATGTTCAACAGCTCCAGTGATTTGAGAAAAATCACTTGTTACAAGTAACAGTTCACAATTAATGTTTTAATTAAAAAGCACAGCTCATTATTATTGAAAAGAGCTGTAAATTATTATAGGAAACACAAAATTATTTGCAGAAAGATATTTTTCAGTGATCTGAACCTGCTCTGAAGGATTGCCTTTTTTAAACAAAATAATCAGAATTATTAGTATCTGAGGGAAATAATATCCTAACAGACACAATCTAATTTCTTTTGAATCTGAGGTAAAATTTGCACTGACTGTAGTAGAAGTCAGATTGTTGTCAAGTGGGCCAAAAGATCATTTATGTTTTCCCATTATGTTTCCTACGATCTAATTAGAAGACAAATCACCAGAACAAGGAAACAATGAGCCAAAATTTGGCTCCATCAGTAAGTAGGAGTGATATAATCCTTGCCTTATTAGTGTCAATTCTTTTAATAGTCATTGGAACAGGTGAGAGATTTTAAAGGGTACTTAAAATAGCGCATTTAGGCTGTTTGGCTCCATGTGCACTTCTGCAGGAGTAGTAGTGTTGGTTTAAGCAGCTCTACCTCAGCTAATTGTTCTCTTTCCTGCTCCACCCATTTTGTTGTGTTCATGCAGTTGTTTGTGCAGATGTGAGGCAGAAGATCAAGTTTAAAAACACTCTTTTCCCTCAATTATTTTTCAGCCAAATCAATTCTCCAGTGTGGTTTATCTGAGGGCTGCACAAAAATCTGTGTTGGCCTCTTGGAGTGGCTACACAAATTTGAGAATTAATGGCCTTGGGCAAATTAAACAGTGCTGGTGAAAAATTAGAAGATGCAGCCTAAAGCAGCGTTTCACGTATTTATGGGGAAAATGTCAGAAATCACAGAAACGTTTGAATTTTAAATAATAGATGAAGAAAACCAATCAAGGAAAGATAAAGGGCCTTGAATGGGAAGGAGATTCATTTATGCTTGGGACTGTAGAAAAGTCAGAGCCAGGCAATGACGAAAGGGAAACAAAGTCCTCTTTTCAAAATACAGAATATTCCACTTTCTGAGAACTGAAGGAAATATTATAGTACAAATAATTATGTTTAACAAAATAAAAACCTCTTCAAGATTTGAACTATGTAAACAGCTAGCATATCTATGGAGTTGTTAGTTACTATTCTAGAGAAAAGTCTGTACATACATCTTCCGAAATTCAAAGGTTAAATTCTATCTTTCTATCTTCTCATCATAATGAGTTTTTTTGGATGGGCCTGCAATAAAGCTGGAAGATTTCCATGCTGAAAATTCCTTTGGTCTGAGGAGTTTCCACCCATTTTAGAGCCAGTCTTGGCAACTCTTCCCTTACTCTGCAGCCTACAAGGCATCAAAGGTACAGCTGGAAAGAAAGTGGGTTTGGTTGTATTACTTTCTCACATGATTCCTGTTATGAATGACGTTCTATTTGTTCAATTTATTAAACAACAAGATTAAATTTGTAGTAAATTTTAATAGTTACAAAATGAATACAATTAAAGTATTAGATACATATATTTGAGAATATACAAAATTTGGCAGTAAGTAATTTAGTATAATTGAGGTTCGTATGAAGCATAAGCAAAACTGACCAGGGAGGGCCCCCCCCCCCAACCAGGGGTACGAAGAGGGGCTCACCCTACCTCATGTACCAAAGCATCAAGGCTAACAATCTTACTTATATACTATATGTTACAGAATTTTCTAGAAAACTCCTCCTAGTTTTTGTTCCTAAAATCTATGTCACTATGTTGTATGGTGCATGCTCTACTAATGGGTTAGGGGTCTCTCATCCTTTTGAGGGTTTTATTTCCAATGAAGGCTCGTCGTCTTCCTCAGTGACCGAGGTGTGACTTGCAAGTAGCGCATGTGCGCTATGTAACTATGTATGCAGATGTTTTCCATAACAAGACTTTAATTGAGTCCCACGCTTGGAATCATCCGATTTTGGCCCATTTCAAGGTCGAAACTTTCTATTTCTAGATGCTGCTTGTCAGACCTACGCCTTCTACTATTCCCTTCCAACATCCTTGTTCGACTCCCAACATCTGGAGGATGTCCTTTGCCCTGTCTCACCCATCTATCCCCTCACTCTGTAACAATTGTCTTCTATTGATCTAAATACAATTTTACCAATGTAGTTACAATTTAGTTAGCACGAATCACATTTATCACATTCCCAAACTGGTCTGTCACACTCTTGAGGTTCATGTATTTCTCAGTATATTTTGCTTAGACAGAATATTTACTGTTCTTCACTTACTTCTTCTCTCTTTGTCTCAGCTGTCCCCAGGAGAAATTAGATGCAGCCCTGAATCTAGGCCGGAAAGTGTGCACAAAATCTAACAAAGTTAATGAAAGTTAACTTGTACATGTCTGAGAGCAGCAATTGTTCCTACCAGTTAGAGGCCATATCCTGCTATTGTTCCATGTATCAAACCCTTATTGAAGTTTCTTCTAAAAATCTTGTACAAAAAATCATCTCCGAGTGTGATAACAGCCAGCA